TATATGGTTCTAAACCAACTTTATGTTAAAGTTCTATGATGTTAGCAGTGACATCTAAATATCTCTCTCTCTGCAGTCTTTACAAGGCTCTCAGCCATCATCTCTAGGAGTAACAAAGATAAACACAGAAAATGTACGTATGTAAAAGGTTGAATGAATATCTCTCTCTGATAAGCTAGTTAATGTTGTTTGTTTTCTCTTGTAGGGGGAAATGCCAGATGGTTCACAATTTGTAAGTGTCTCATGTAGACTTGCAGCAAATGTGAAGAGTAAAAAAAAAAAAAATCAAAAATGTCTCAGTTATTCATTAAACATGCACAGAACAAGGGAATTGCGAATCTACTGGGATATGATCATCAGTGAGGTTTTGTAGAGAGTAATCCTCTTTGCTGCTGATGGTAAAAGTGAGGCTATTTGTTAAATCGTTCAGAAAACCCAAAAGATAAACACAGCGTCCACAACAGAAAAATAAAGGAGAAGTACTTCTCCATTCACTCCTTTTCCCTGATCAAAATAACTTCTAACACACACGAAAAGAAAAAGGCAACTAAAATACTTGCTCTATCTATCATTATGAACTGATGCCCAGAGGACAAGAATACTCAGTGACCCTACTTCTAGTACTTATACAGCTGTGGGGCTACACACCTAGTATGAGTCTCAAGCTTTCAGGGAGGAGAGGTCAGGATGTCTGTATCTGAATAATTATATGATACAAATTTAAATTAGTGCAGGGGATTTCATGCTTTTTTTTCCTCCTTCTCCTCCTTCCACCACTAGTGGTGGCAGAATTAGTTGTAAATAATGTTTATTTTGAACCCAAGGCGGTAGTCTAAAGAAAAACTTAACATACTGATATGTTTATCTCATTTTTTTAACTTTTCCATTGTACTATTAGTATCTCGGAACATGTGGGTCAGAATAACTTTAGCTATAAGTGCAGATTTGCAGTCGTAGGCCAAATTTCTTCCTGCCATGGTAAAGCTCAGCTGGTATATTGAAAAAAGTAAATCACGGTCAAAAGTTTTACTGATGGTGTACTTCCAGGAAGTTCCTTACGTTGGGAAACTTGATACTGCACTTCATCCAGGATGCACAGTTGCCATTAAGGGAGAAGTGAATAAAAACTCAAAGAGGTAAGCATTACTGAATTTTTCTGCTATTTAACTGAACTACTCTTAAGAATGAGTAGGCTTTTCTGTTGCCTCAGTATGTCATTACTCACTTGCAGCTTTGCATCTGGAATCATCTGAAACTACAGTGCAGTTTTCTCTGGAACCTGCAGGATACCACTTTAGAGATGACTTAAATGAGCAGCTCCATTGTGCAAAGTGAATGTAAAACCTGAGTGCTAAATCTGCATCGTTCACAAGATTCTGTGTCTGTTCAGGGTTTCCATTGTGCAAGGCATATGAACACACATACCATACAAAGACAGCTCTTACTCTGAAGAGTTCTGAGAGTAAGGGAACTGGCAGAAGTAGCTGGAAAAGTGAGTTAGATTGAGTTGTTGGTGTGCTCAAATGCTGCATGTTACAGTGTTTCTCTGAATACTTCTCAGACTGCATCCTTGGGAACTGTATAAGCATGAAGGTGCCTAACTGACAACTGAGTGATGAAAGCTGGTAGGAGAGTATAAGCTGTAATTATGATAGTGAATTAGGAACAACAGGTTGCAAAACCAATGTCTTTCCAACATGATTTAAAGGTGAGGGAGGAAGGGGCGTGCAACATGGTCAAAATGGAGCTGAGGAAGTGTCTGTGCTTCAGCATGCCTTTTGCTTGAAGGATGGTTTTGGCTCTGCACAAACATGCCTAAAAATGAAGCAATTCATGCAAATGATGAAAAGCATGCTTTTTACACTGTGTGTACTCCTGCTTCCTCAGAGCATGTATCTTAGCTGCAGCTGAAGAGCACTCAGGTTTCATACTAATACTGGAACCCAAGGTCTAGAAATCTCATCAACAAAATTTGAATGGACTTTAAATTGGACAGGATAATTAATACTTGGATAGTAGTATTTGTTTTCCTTGTTTTGGCTTGGAAAGCTTATTAGCACATTTCAAGTGCTGAATGTTCTGCTTGTAAGCATGAAGAGGCTTTTGGGTGTTAGTTAAAGCATTATTAAAGTTATTTAATGTCTTTCACTCCATTCACACAGTTGTAGGTGTTCCTTTTTCCTGGTGAAAAAGAGGACTTGGCAGCTTGAAAGTGTGCCTGTTGCTGTATTTCCTATCTGGACTAATCAATTCCAGGCTTCTCAAAGGAGGGAAATAACCTGATAGCTGCAGCTAATTTGGGGGGAGGAATATTTCTTCTTCAAATGCAGTGAGGTCTTTTTCCACAGGTTGAAGCACTCATTTGAATTTGGATGGCTCTTCCCTCTGATCACTCTTCTTCAGAGCTTCCCTTTAGGAACACTGTCTTGTGGACAGTCTGAGATTCAGCCTGGTCAGAACTACGCTGCCTACAAAGTAATGCTTTGTATGCATGGTGTCCCACTGATCTTAAACATACAGAGAGAATCCTCACACTTTTCCTTAGAGTCTAACCAGTTTGTTGGCAGAAAGAATATAATGTCTTTAGGTAAAAGGAAGCCTCCTGCTCTCCACTGCCGGACTTAAGAGAGAGAGAGGGTGGAGCAAGTAGCACTGTGTGTTTCTGTGAGAACGCTACTTCTTAGTTTTGTAGGAGAGCAGCACTTGGCCTGCTTGACTCAATACCTCCTTGCTGACACAGGAATGGAAAGCTGCGAGTGATGAAGCAGATTTAGCAGGGTCATGTCCTACATTTGCTGTCTCCCGCTAAGGCTTCTGTGCGAAGGAGACAAATGCATGTTATCTCTCTGCTTGGTTCTTCAGGTCAGTCACAGCCCTGGTTCCAGAACAGTTCTGAGTATTGGCTAAGGGCTTGGTAAATAGCATGGATGACTGCATTGTGTTTATAAACCCTTGGTATAATAAACTTTTAAAAAATACCTTTCAGCTTTGCGATAAATCTGAAATCAAGTGACTCAAAGGACATTGCATTACATCTGAATCTCCGAGTGAAAAATAAAGTTTTTGTAAGAAACTCATACCTTCATGACAGCTGGGGAGAAGAAGAAAAGGAAGTTGCGAACTTCCCTTTTAGTCCAGGGATGTACTTTGAGGTAAGATTAGCTGAAACATAACACCAAACTGGTAATTCTTTCAAAAAGATTAGCAGTAGTGCTTAAATGCCATGTTGCTAAATACAGATTTAAATAAAACTGCCATTCCTGCATTTCGTTCTTTGTAACAGGAGCAGGGCTTGCCCAAGTCTGGGCTAGATCATCAGGTTGTTTTTCATGTCTTACAGGAGCTTAGAACTTAACTGTTTCTCTTCTTGTTTTTCAGCTGATCATTTTCTGTGATGCCCACCTGTTCAAAGTTGCCATTAATGGTGTTCACACTCTGGAGTACAAGCATCGTTTTAAACAACTTGAAAAGATCAATGTAGTGGAAATCATAGGAGATGTTCAGTTGTTAGATGTGAGGAGCTGGTAGTTATTTTCAATCAGTACTGAAAGAATTAAACCTCTTCTCATGACAGTGCCTCCTTGTCAAGTACAAACAGGTGCTGACTCATGCTGAGCCTGCCTTTATCTATCTAGGCTTCTGTGTCTGCCTCTCTGAGTTAGGTGAGTAACAGAACTGCTAACTGTGAGATTAAATCCTCCTCTAGTTTACAGTATTCTGGCAAGCTAAATAAGTGTTTGCTCAGATAGATCTCCTGTATCACTGAACCTAGCAATATGAAAATGCTGCATCATCCTGTGTCTAACAATTGCACTTGGTATTTTTAACTTAAAACTACTACTCGGCAATCCTTGATACCATATATTCAATATTGTGAAGTAGAAACAAGACTGAAATAGGATCTGAAGATAGGGTTATCCACCCCAAAAGGGACATCAATAATTCATTTAAAATGGAATTATGAAAATATACTTTTCTGCTTCTTGGTTTATATTAGCAACTATAACCTTTTTACTGAGGCTGGATTAAGCAAACAATTCGCCCATCAGTTCTGGAAAAAGGCAAGGAGGAATCTGATCTTACTTCTTAGCCTGCTGCTGCAGTGGTACCTTCTCTGACACTCATGGTTATGCCACCTCCTGCTTATAAGTGGCTTAAATCAAACATACAGCAGCATTTCTAGCTTTTAGTTTTCCAGAATGAAACAAATGAAAATGATTTAGCTGGTTCCACTTGTGTGAACTTTTGAAAGCTTGTTTGGTCTGAAACGGTTCCTAACTGAGTTGAGATTGCTCAGGGACTGAAGTAGATGGTTTTCATTTTTTAAAAATGTGTGAACCCAGGTATTCCAGGCAGGGTTTCAGCTGAGACTTGGATACTCATCAGTGGAATAGGGAATGAATCCTTTTTCAGTCTTGTATTAAAATGCTGTCTATCTGAAACAAGCTGTTTCTAATCAGTTTTCTGTACAAATGTCAGTCTTAATTTTTATACTCTTTTTAAAAATAAGCTGCTACTGGCTGTTGATACCTGCCTGAGGGATGTTCCTATTTAGCTAAACAGCTGCTAAAAGAGGGAAGCAATTTCAAGAATAAGATGTACCATAGAAGACTGTTAAATTACCAGATTTAATGTATAAAAAGCAGAAATAAAAACATGTGTGAACTCCACTTTTCTCCAAGGTAGCTAAGTAGCTGTGATCCCTTTTTGGTCTTATTTTGTCTTGTTTCGCTTATTATCTTACCGCTATCTCCATAGTGATCCTGACTGACTGGAAGACCATTTCCACATTGAGCAGTTAGCGATCCATAGGCCAGTTAACCTGAGGAGGCCTAGGCCTTGGCTGTGCTGGTGTGGCCTTCAGGGCAGGGCTGTGCTGCGCGTACCCCTTGGCCGCCGGATAAATGTGTTTGGCTGATTGTACCAGAGGAGCCAGTAGGTAGCTCCCACTCAGTAATGGGAATTGCACCATTTGCGTGGCCTTGCCTTTATCTGAGAGTTTTTTTTTTTCATGTGACTGTCCTTTTTGTTTGACAGTAGTCATGATTAATAGTTGCTTTCTTTTAAAAAAAATCCTGTAAGAGCACGAATGACTGAGATGGGGTAACCTTTCCACAGAGGGGATCTGCATGGCGTGCTGTACCCTAAACAGAAGCCCATTCCCAGCACCCAATGGGTTGTAAGATTGTCCTCTTTATAATAGTGTTGGTTCTAACCAGTTGCATTTTAAACCATACTTGACAGGGTCCGAGTGCCTGTCATCTTACTAGCAGTATAATGAACCAGCACCTCCTCGTGCGAAAGAGGTGGTGAGTTTTTAGTAAAATATTAATGTAGTAAGCAATTTATTCTTGCTCTTCAGGTGAATAAGAAGCTAATCAGCAGCAGTCTTTTAAGACTGAAAATGAGCTTTTCAGTATCTTCAGTGGGTTTACCTTTTACTTCCCTGAAAATGACAGAAAAGCAGATTCTCAGGATTTTAGTGCATGGGTGCAGTGAGTACCACCCTTACACTGTAGCATGACAGTCCATCCACAGGGACAGTCACTGCACACCCCAAGCACAGTGGAACTTGGTGAGTCTCACATGTCACTCTGTGCCTAGCAATCCAAATTTGCCTATAGCTTGCTCCAGTTTCCCACTGTTAAGAAAAGAGCAGTTAAGGAAAAGTCATACGAAAAGTCCCCAGACCATCCAGAAATGATAAAGCCAGATTCTTACAATATTTTATTAAAAAGTTAAGATGTTAGCTCTGATAAAAATTAGTATGACAGTTTGGCCACAACACTTGCATGTGTGAAGCTAACATGATTCAGACAAAATTTTGGAAACAAAGGGGATAAACTTAGAAGTAGCTTTGGAGTGGCTCTCCCAAAATGACTTCCAGTTGTTGAATTGTCTTCTGACACTGCTGTTCAACTTCTTCACATTCATCTAGAAAAAGAAAGAAAACATGAATGAAGTAGAATAGTGATTACAGAGCTACCCTAGGAAGGCTTCAGCGCTTGTCAAGGCTAGAACTGTCTTCAAACACCAGGTATGAAATAATTAATATTTTGGCACTGACTTAGGCAAAGTACTTCTACTGTAACACTGATCTAAAACACATAACTGGGGAGATACACACAGGCTGTAACACTGTGATTTAACTGAACTTCAGGAGTGTGTTGGATATAATCCATTTCAGTTTGCATCGTGCACAGTTTTAAGCTACTGTATACCAATTCATAAGATTTATAGGAATCACCCTGTCTGAATCTTGGAAATAAGTGTCCCCTATATATCCCAGTAGTCTGCCTTCACTAATGCCACTTTAGAACATTACCTTCCATGAGCTCTGCTAAGAATGGAATAGATTCTGGTAGCAGGACCAAGTAGTTCTCCTTCAGTTTTTGTGCAACTTCTACCAAAGCAAGCAGAGCAGCAAATCGGACCTAAACCAAAACAATAATCTTTGTAAGGAAACAAACATTACAGTATAGTTCTCTGTTTTCTCTTCTTGCCCCTCCCT